GGTAGAAAGGAGCCCAAAATAGCCTGGTGAGACCTCTTTGTGACTGAGAACTGCAGTTCTGGGGGGTCTGATTACCTGGGTGATTGTTCCTATGTGTCTAAAATTGCATTCCGTTGTATTGTGTGTTCCAAGCACGTGATAGGCAATTATTAAGCTTATTAGGGGCTGGAGATAGAAAGACCAAAAAAAAATCTTTGGCTTCAAAGATCTTACATTCTACTGGGAGAGAGGTGGCAGAGGGAGACGACAACATACACATATTTATGTGTATATGTATGTATGTAGATGTGTGTATGTATGTATACACACACACAAAGTAAATATGAGGTAACTCGAGGATGGGAGACTAACACCAGGGGAGGGAACAGCAAAGGTAGTACATGGGGGAGGTGTTTGAGCTGAGCTATGCAGGAAACTGGGGGTTCTAAAAGGAGAAGGTGAGAAAGGGCTGCATTCTAAGCATGTGGACAGGCTGTGCAATAGTACAGAGATGGGGGCTGGGAGAACAGCCTGTAGGCCACTTTGGCTGGTACATAGAATGCATAAAAGGGGATTAATGAGTAATAAACCCAGAAAATAGGCTATAGTCTAGCTGTGGAAAGCTTTAAATGCCCAATAGAAGAGTTTGTATTTGGTCCTAGACGCAACAAAGGGTCGCTGGAGTGAACAGAGGAGTGACATGGTCAGATTAGGGTTTTAGGAATACACTGAATATCAGATGGATGGGTCGATAAGGAAGTTAAAATAATAGTCCAGATAAAATGGAGTTGAGGGCCTGAAATGGCGTGGTGGCCGTATGACTGAAGAGAAGGGGACAGATTGAGAGGTGCAGTAGAGGTAGAATTGATAAGATTTGACAATAAATTGGACATGCAAGATAAAGGAGAATGAGGTGTTATGGGTGACTTTGAGGTTTGGACACAGGTGGTTAGGAGAATGGTGGTATCCTCCCCAGAAATCGGAAAGTTAGGAAGAGGGGTGGGTTTAGGGGGAAAGACAATGAGTTCTGTTATGGACGAATTAAGTTTGAAATACCTATGAGACAACCAATTGGAAATGTGCAATAGGTAGTTGTTAAGGGGAGACTGTTGCTCATGATGGAGATTAATGCTGCATATATATAGACCTGGAAATCATCTCTAAGAAGATAGTTGATCCCTTAAAATTAATTTATTCATCAAAAGTGAACTAATGAAATAGTGTAGAGAAAGAAAAAAAGAGGGCCACAGTTGGGAGGCATGCCATGGAGGATCATCCAGTAGAGAAGCCTGAGAAATAGTCAGGCGGGTAGGAGGAGAAACAAGAGTGAGAGCAGTATAATGAAAACTCAGAGGAGATCATTTAGGAGGAAAGGGTAGTCAAGAGCATCAAATGTGATAGAGAGGTAAAGAAGGAAGAGGACTGGGAAAAGGCCATGGGACTTGACCCTACCATACTCTCAAACTATTGCCCTGCCTGCTTTCTCTCTCCCAGAAAAACTTGTCTCCATACATTGTCTGTGCTTCCTCTCCTCTCACTCGCTGCTCATCACCTTGAATCTAGTGTACAACCTCATCACTCAACTGAAATTGCTCTTTCCAAAGTTACCAGGGTATGGTAGGATAGAGTGAGGGGTTATTTAAGGATAGAGGAGACCTGGGCATATTCAAAGGTCACAGGGCAAAAGACAATATGTATGGGGAAATGAAAGATTAAAAAGCCAGGACAGCTGGATAATACGGGAAGGAATGGAATGCAAAGGGAAAGTAGAGAAGATGTTCCTCAGCAAGAAGGGCTACCTCTTCCTCAGAGAATGGAGTAAAGGAGGCAATGGTGGATTATGTCAGTCAATGGTTTTGCTACGTAGAATAGGGGCAAAGAGAGAGCTCTCATCAAATGTTTGTTCTCTCAGTAAAGTATGAAGCAAGGTCCTCAACTGAGAGAAGGGGCTTGAAAGTTGTATGAATTGAGCTGGACTGTGAGTTATCTGAGGTCTAAGGTGAAAGTACATCAAGACTGGTTGTTCAGTCATTTTCAGTCATGTCAGACTTTCAGTGACCCTATTTGGGGTTTTCTTGGCAAGGATACTGAAGTAGTTTGCCATTTTCTTCTCCAGCTCGTTTTACAGATGAGGAAACTGAGGCAAACAGGGTGAAGTGACTTGCCCAAGGTCACACAGCTAGTAAATACCTAAGCCCAGTTTTGAACTCAGAAAAATGAGTCTTTCTTGACTCCAGGCCCAGGACTTTATCAACTGTACCACCTAGCTGCTCAAATACATCAAGGTACTGGGTGGTAGTAACTCTGTCATGAGGTCAGTGGCAGCTGCATACTTAATAACACCTAAAGCCTCCCTTATTCTCTCAGGCATTCCCAAGGGATGCTGGCAGTCAATAGTACCAGGATACTGACAATGTGCAGAAGTAACTCTACAGAGTTCTGTTCCAAACAGGCTGGAGTTTGGTTACATAATGTACCTTTAGCTGCTTTTTTTAAATGGTGTACTTCCTATTCTTTCATAGGTTATCAAGTTGTATTAGAATATATGTAAAGTAAGAGAGTAAAACCTAAATAAGTAATTAGTCAATTAGTCAACAAACATGTATCAAGTAATAACATAATCAATTTATCTCCTGTCACTACAATCTCAAAGGTTCAAATCACATTCTCTCACTCATATCCTTACACATCCAACCAACTGGCACATCTCATAAGGAACAAGGGAAAACAAAACTGACCCCAAAGACACCCTTGCCTTTCTCCTTTCCTTGTATGTGCCTTGGAAAGAATTAGGAAAGTTTCAGAATGGTTCTTCACTAGCATAGCCACGGGCTGACCAAAAGTTGTCCCCAGAGAAACTTCCTGGCGTGCCCACAGATGAAAGAGGAATGCATCTATAGATTCCTTCTTTTCTAAATGACACCTATATTACAGCCAATGATATATTTTCACTAATAAGGCATGAGGAGAAGGAGGCAATAACAGAAAAAAGAATGAAAGATGTGTCATATTTGTCACATACACTAAACATGTGTAAGGAAAGGGTTGATCACGACAGTTCCCCATCCAATTTGATGATCTTAGAGGGTGACATGTTTTTTATATTTTATTTTGGTTAAATCCTCATATTGAGTGTATGAGCAAATCCTTTAGTGCTTCCTGGAGGTTGGACTTCACTAAGGGCACTGCCCCCAAGATGAAGGAGTTGACTCACACTCTTATGAGACTGATTGTCATGGAAGAAGTCACTCCCATCTCTCCAACTTCTACCCCTTTGATCTGGCCAATATAAGGAACCATACAAACTCTTTGGGCCCTTCTTTTTCTCTTTCTTCTGAAAACCCAGCAGAGATAAGAACAGAATTGGACTTAAGAATAATCCCGCCTAAAGAGTTTAGTGGCCACGAGGCAGAAACATATGCACTTGTTCACCCACATGGCTGAAGAGGAGAGTTTCTGTACAATGTTGATTTCCTGGCCTGAACACTGGAGAGGCAATAGCATGACTCAGGCATATGGTGGCCATGGAAAGGGGAGCCACATAGTCAAGAGGTAAAAGTTCCTGAGAGTTGCCTTTCTAGATGTCTTAAGTTTAAGTCTCAGAATCCAGAGAAAGAACTGGAACATGAGAAAAGAAAAAGAATTTCATGGGCAGTACAATCCTAGAATCAACCCTTCAAGTAAGACATAGGGCTGGGGGTAGGGTGTGGACAATGCCAGCCTAAGGGCTTGCTTCATGGGGGCAATGCCAAGTTCAAGGGCTCAGGGGTCAAATAATCTATTAAATGAAGGGGAATTTCTTTGGTACCACACACAGTAGAGAGACAAGACAATCGTGGAAATGATCCTCCAGTGTAGGGTGGCACAGAATCAAGGGACAAAAGGTACTGGAGCTTTGGACTTCGCACTCCATTATTGCAATGAGGTATTCACATGGTACAAGTCTGGTGGAAGGGAGCTTGCCTATCTAGCAACTCCAAGTGTTTTTCCCTTCCAGGAGAAATCTAAATCAAAAATAGTGCTATGAGAATGGGAAGCCTGTGCAAAGTGGATTCACCAGAATGGGAGATGCATTATTAGTAATTATTTTGAGGCTACTGTGAATCCACATGTGTGTTTTCTGAATTTATTGAAGGGCTCCTGTGAGTCTTTTGCATTTGCTGTATTTCCAGTGGGATGGATTAAAAATTGTTGTGTACCAGGTAGATAGATAGTTATATTTCATATTAGTATAGAAACTGAGAACCCTCTTCTTCATATCTATGAATGTATGGATACAACCTATATTCTGAGATTTTTCTCAGAATAAACTCTGGTAAGCATGATGTAATAGATAGTCAGATTCTCAGTCAGGAAGACATGGGTTCAGGTCCTGATTTGGATACATTTTGATTATGTCACTCTGGGCAAATCACTCAACCTTTGGGTCCTCATAACTCTAAATTGCCAAAGAGCTACTGATCTACGATGGGTTGGAGGAGTTTCCTTACCAAGAGTTTCCCACACCAATGAAATCACAGGTCTGGATATAAAACTACAACTGTGGGTGCAGTAATGAACCAAATCGAAGATGATATTTGAGGGGTGGTAATAATAATAATAGCATTTACGTAGTACCTACTATGTGCCAGGAACTGCGCAAAGTGCTTTATAAATATTTCAAAGTGCTTTACAAATATTGTCTCATTTGATCCTTACAACAATCCTATGAGGTAGATTCTGTTACTAACCCCATTTTACAGTTGAGGAAACTGAGGCAGGCAGAAGTTAAGTGACTCGCCCAAGGTCACACAGCTAGTAAGTATCTGAGGTTGGACTTGATCTGACGAATTCTTGACTCCAGGCCCAGCACTTTTTCCACTGCATCACCTCACTGCCCTTAGATAGACCCCAGGATTAGACCTGGTCAGCGTGTGGGAACCGAGGGCACTGGGCCATGCATTACACATACGCAAGCCTTCTCTTCTCTGAACTGACTGCCACCTCAGGAGCAGTAGTTGAGGGCAAAATCACTGACTCACCAGGCCCCACCAGAGTGCATCCGCGTAGGTGTCGAAGTGATCATTCTCGCCTTTCTCTGCCAAGTACACCAAGAAGGAGGCCAGAATGAGGCAGAGGAAACCGATATACCAGGCAGTGACCAGCTCCTGCAAGAAAGACAATATACAAAATTATAACCTAGGTATCACATGACAGCTGTTTTGCTGAGTCTTTCCAGCTAATGAGGAGATTCAGACCATCCATCTGGGGAGAAGACCAGAAAAGACAACCTTTGCCACGCGGTCCCATGTGTTCTGCCAAGGAACACCCTGCAGGAAGCTGTTATCCAATTGCTTATGGCCCACAGGACACCTTTCATAGCACTCCACAGGCTGGCACAGACTAACAGAAGCAGCTTCACTCCCAGGGGCACATTGGATGAACACCTGCCAGATTAGCCTCTGGGACTTATAACAATGGTCTTGGCTTCCTGCCAGAAAAAGGCAGGAGAGACCCTTAGGACTTCACCCCCCCACACACACCCTTGCTGGGATATCTAAATATATAGCAAGAGCTGGGCTTTCTGGTTTTCCTATTTACATGCCTTGGAACAAATTCAAGCTATTGGTCTCTGCTTTTCTATTCTTGTCCTTTTCCAAACGACTTCACACCATTTGTTTCAAATGGTCGAGAGCTTTCACATTCAAATTCAAACTGATCTTAGGATCACATAGTCACAGATCATCATTTTACAGATAAGAAAACTGAGGTCCCATAGAGGTTGGGTGAGTTGCTCAAGGTCACACAGGTAGTAAGTGGGAGAGCCAGGCATCAAAGACAAATCCTCTAACCGAAATATTTGCACTCTTTCCAAATGCACCCTGCAGAAAGGTAATCCTGATTATAATAGCATTTATATAGTGCTTTAAGATTCACAGTATACTTTACAGCTGTTATCTCATCTTCATAACTCTGTGAGGGAGATGCTATTATTATCCTCCATTTACAGATGAGGAAACCAAGGCAGACAATGGTTAGTTAAACAGTTTGCTCAAGATCATAGTGTCTGAGGCAGGATTAGAACTCAGGTCTTTCTGATTCTAGGTCCAGCACTCATTCCTGTGCTATCTAGCTGCCTTTAGGTGGCGCAGTGGATGGAAAAAATATAATTGAAGGGGAAATGTAATTCGATCATTGAAGAGGAAATCACTGTATTTTTTTCTTAAATATCCATTTCTGCCTTTAATACATTTTAATTTGTGGGGGTTGATGGGGAAGTTAATGAAATATCAGTTTAAAATGATCTTGCAGATAGAAATCTATTTAAGTTTCAGGTTTCAAAATTACATCCAAGTACAAATGAAAGATAAATAGATACAAAGGCAGAAGCTATATAACCATAGCTATCCACAGAATCACAGATATTCACTGAGTTATAGAGATCAACAGGACCCTAGCCATTCACAAGACCAAATCAGTAATTTATCAAGCACGTATTACATGCCAGATATTGTACCAGGTGTTGGGCATACAAATACAATGAGTGAAACATTTTCTTCTCCCAAGGAGCATATTTACATTCTAACAGTACAAAAAGTGCATATGTAAGTATATACAGAATAAATATAAATAAATTTTAAAATCACTAACTATAAGGCAGTTAGGAAGAAAGGGTACTCATAGTTGGGGGTACCAGGAAAAGCTTCATGTTGAAGGTAGTACATTATCTGTGTCTAGAAAGATGACAGAGATTCTATGAGACAGAGGGTAGTTTCCTACCCTCTTCCTTTACTCTTTTGAGTATACATATTAGATGTAGACAGCATAAAGGCATAAAGATGGGAGATAGTGCCATATATAAGAAGGCCTGATGGGCCACAGAGGTAACGTGTTATACGCTGAACTAACTATAAGTACCGCATAGAAAGAAACACTATAGTGTCATGAAAAGTGTGCTTTACTTGGAGCCAAAGGGAAAACTCATGTTTGCATCCCGCCTCTGACACTAATTGTGTCACTCCTGGGCAAGTCACTGCCTCCCAAGTCTTTGATTTTGCCTCATGGTCGAAACAGAGGTTGGTCCTGGGGCCTAGCTGGTTATAAAGGAGTGTATGTTTGAGGTTCTCCACCTCCAATCACCAGTCAGGAACTGAGGTGTTTGACTTGAGAGGAAAGAAGGGCCATGGTAGATGTCTTTAAGAATTAGAATGTGAGCTCCTTGAGGGCAGGGACTGGTCTTTCTTTGTATACCTAGTGCTTAGTACAGTGCCCAGCACAAGGTAAGAACTTAATAAATGTTAGCCAACTGACCATTGTGTGAAAAAAGACCTTGTTCTACTTTTCCTCACAAGATAGAAGTACAAGTAATGGGGGAGGGAGAGTTACAAAGAATGGGATTATGGCTTCATGTAAGGAAAAACTTCTTAACTATTGGAGCTGCCCCAGAGTGGAATGGGCTGCCTCAAGAGGCTGGCGGTTCCCCTTCACTGGAGGTCTTCAAGCAAAGGAGAGTCTCATGGATTGGATTAAGTTCTCTTCCCACTCTGAGATTCTGATTCTTCAGAATCTCCAGATCCATTGAATCCAACCATCATCCTAAAATGTCAAAGCAACAGGGGTAGAAAGGGCCTTAGAGTCCATCCTTTTCATTTGATGAGTAAGGGAACAGGGAACCAGAGAAAGAAAGCAACTTGTCCAAGGTCTTAACAGTAGAGCAAGGATTAGGACTCAGGTCCCCTAACTCCCACCCAGTCATAACTTCCTTATTTTCTACCACACTGACTCCACTGGACCTTATCACTTTGTTCCCTTTAGAGGCATCAATAGCATCTATACAGAGAGAGACAGAGAGAGAGAGAGAGAGAGAGAGAGAGAGAGAGAGAGAGAGAGAGAGAGAGAGAGAGCGCGAGCCTACTTCAGCACCATGGTTACCACTCCATTGGTTAAACAGTCTACCTTAAAGTCATAGGAAAGGACAGCCATCACCATTCTCAGAGATTCAGGGTTAACAGAGTTAGCAAGAAGTTCCATGGTATTTGACAACATTATGAACATTTCAAGGAAGAAACAGAGGATAACTTATTGTTGTATTTTACTAAGATGCTCCGTTGTCCAGCAAATGTAAAAGAGGAATGGTGAATGGAGGAGCAAAGGAAATCTGACTTGGGGATAGGATAACTGACCCACACAACATGAGAACCCTCTATCTCTCCAGCAGGCTCCCTTCCTCAGGATCTTGGCTGACAGGAGACTGGGTAGAGTGGAAAAGATGTTCCCCACCCAGACAAATGAGAAGAAATGCTGATTATAGGCAAGTTACTTAATCAGAGCAGCCACAACAATCCTCAGTGCAAGAAATTATTTAAATGTGATGAACATGGTGTTTAACCTGTTCCTTTTTTTCCCCCACAGAGGAAGAATTAACACTGATTGAGCTCTGGATACTCAGCACCGGGGCATGATCTCCTAAGATAGTTCTCAGCTGTTTCAGGGCTTACCTTGCTATGGGCGTACACCACTGAACCAAGGAGTTTCCAGGTCCCTCCTCTCCGATCCATTCGAATCATCCTCAAAATCTGCAAGAATCTCAAACTCCGAAGGGCTGAAGTGGCAAACACATTGCCCTGGGATCCCGCAGCCAACACAGCAATTGAGGCTATCAGCACCATGATGTCTATGCAGGAGATTACAAAAACAATCTGTAAGATCAAGTGCTACCTGTCCCTCCTGCGTTCATGGGCTTGGGTCAAATCTCTGCTTTGGGAAATGAGCTCCTTCATTTTCCTCCATGATGGCTGGCAGGATAGAGGCCCCAAGCAGAGGTGGGTAGTATCGGATGGTCCATAGACCACTGGCTGTGAAGTCAAAGTACCTAGGTTCAAATCCCACTATTGGCATTTACTACTGGGATGACCTTGGTGAAAGTCATAATCACCCTGGGCTTCAGTTGTCTCATCTGTAAAGTAAAGGGAGTGTGCTAGATTGCTTCTGAGGTCTCTTCTACTTCTAAATCTAGAAAATAAAATATCTATGGAAATCTTTCCATACATTGGGAATCCCTGGGGTTTTTTCTATCTCAGAGTTGCCATCTGCTGGGTCTAATGCTCCAAGAAGTTCTTTATTTTTATTATTTTTACTATATTTTTCTGTGACTTCTAATCAGAAGTGGATCCAAATTCACTCCGGAAGAACTTCATATATAGATGTGATGGTCCAGAGCAAATCCAGATAAATGTTTAGGGCTATTCAAAACCATTCATCTTCATAGACTTAAAAGTGGAAGGAACCTTTAAGGTCAATTATTCAAGCTCCTCATTTGATAGATGAAGAGACTGAGGCCCCCAGAGATGAAGTTATTTCCCAAGGTTACATAATCAGAAAGTGGCAAGGTCCTGTAGCTCCCAATACAGGCTTCTGTGCATAGAACTGCACTTTCCTATTGTTGGGTCTGATTCAAAACCATGCATTAAAGAGTCCAGTATAGCCATTCTGGAAGGCAATTGGGAATTGTGGCTAAAAAATTGCTAAACAGTATATACCCTTTCACCCAGCAATAGCACTTCTAGGCTTATATCTCCAAGAAATCTCAAAGAAAGAGGGAAAATATCATTCTGCACAAAGACATTTAGAGCAGCTCTTTTTGCCATAGTGAAGAACTAGAAATGAAGGGTGTGTCAATCAATTAGGGAAAGGCTGAATAAATCATTGTATATGAATGTAATGGAATACTATTGTGCTATTAGAAATGATGGAAGGGACTGGTTTTAGACAAACCTGGGAAGACTTGTATGAACTAATACAGAATAAGGTGAGCAGAACTAGGAGAACAATTTATAATATAAAAACATTATAAAAATAAAGAACTCTGATTAATGCAATGACCAACCATAATTCCAGAGAACTGATGATGAAGAATGCTACCCATCTCCTAGTGATGGACTAGAGATGTAGCATGACATATATACATTTTTTTGCATAGGCAATATGGGAATTTATTTTGCTTGACTATGCGTGTTTGTTACAAGGGGCTTCTTTTTCTTTTTTTTTTCAACAGGAGGGGAGAGGAAGGGAAGGGAGAGAAAAATGCTTGTTAATGGAAAACAAATTTTTTTTAAAGTCCTCCCAAGTGGATGCCACCATCAGTCTCCATGTGGGGTACTGTGGAACAGCAGATAGAGAACTACACTTGAAGTCAGGAAAACCTAGACTTAACCCCTGCCTCAGACACATATAAGTTGTATGCCCCAGTTTTATTGTTGTCTTTGTTGGTGGTTAGTTGTATCAGTCACATCCCACTCTTTGTGATCCCATTTGGGGTTTTCTTGGCAAGGATACTAGAGTGGTTTGTCATTTCCTTCTCCAGCTCATTTTGCAGATGAGGAACTGAAGCAAACAGGGTTGAGTGATTTGCCCAGGGTCGCACAGCTAATAAGTGTCTGAGGATGGATTTGAACTCATGAAAATGAGTCTTCCTGATTCCAAGCCCAGTGCTCTATCCATAGCCCACCTAGCTGCCCCTGTAAGACCCAGGGTAAGTCATCTGATTACTCTGGCTTTCAGTTCTTCTGTAAAATGAGGGTATCAATGACCTTTAAGGTCCCTTCTAGCTCTAAAGCTAGGATCTTGTCATCTCTTCCTTTCAAATCCATCAAAGACAAGTTCCCAGTGTCACTGTTCTTTCATTTATTTGTTCGTTATGCTTATCATAGATCAGGTAACTCTGCACTGGTCCCACCCACAAATGTCTCTCCAAAGGGGCCTGGACTTCTGGTTCTGAATGGTCCTGTTCCTTCTCTACATCTGCATATGGTTGACTGGTTCATCCAAAGCTAGGAGTGCCCAGACCACAATAGAGGGATTCTTCCCTGTGTTTTGCTCCTCTCCATATGATCCCCTCACAGAGGTCTCTTTACCAAGAACAAAGAACAATCCATGTCAATGTCATGGTAGTGACGTCATGAATTTAGTCAGCCTTACAAGAAATGCCAGTTCCTTGCCTGACAAGATGTGGGCTGGAGGAGGAAGGGGAGGCTGTCACTCTTTTTGCAGCAGCGATCAGCCCCCACATGCTACTCCCATCTCCGGGTCTTCCCTGTTCCCCCGAGGTTGCCCCCTTGGGGAAGTCCTTACCGATGACACAGAAGGGTTTTCGAGCAAACTTCAGTCTCCCCCTCCAGCCCCGGTAGCGACAGCAGCAGCCAGCAGCCCAGATCCTCACAAAGTACTCCACTCCAAAAACCACAATGGTGACAATTTCCTGAAAGGAAAACCACACACAATGCCTGCTGGATGCTTCTCTGCCCTCTGAACCAAGCCATCTTGAAACACCTGAAGCCCTTGACTTCTGCCCTGAGGCAGGGGAACTGCCCCACCAAGATGAGGGAGTTATATATCATCTTTATAGAAACCAGATCATTTTAAGGGCTCTGAAATTATTGACCTGAAGCCTGGAATCGCTAAGCTGAAGTCAAAAAAAAAAAAAAACAGTTTGCATGACACTGAATCTGCATCAGATTAAATTCCCTCTGGCTTCAGGTCTGTTGAAGGCATCAACAAAAGAATCTGAATACGCACCCTGCTCAGCAACTAGAACATAAAGGAAGCCATTAGTTCCCAAAAGAAAAGAACACATATGAATGGAGCATCAAGGGAGTACGATCCCATGTGGCCTGAATCCACATGGGAGCTGGATACAAAAATTCTCAAGTTCTGTTACAGAAAGTGTGTTCCACAGTCGAACAAAAGGCAGGGTGGAAGCTGAACCAGAGGCTGACAAATCCTTCCCAATGACCTGGGAACCCTAGGTCTCTTTACAAGCATGCCCAGACATTGTCATCTTGAAAGTAATTAAAAACTATGTTTCCATTCATTCATGCATGCAGGACAGCTGATGGTTGGAATGAAATTTTGCTATAGATAGGTTAATTCACCAGCTCTCAAAGTTCTCTTAGAGAAGAACATGCTGCATTCTTATGATATAACCTATAAACTATCCCCCCATCCCCACCCCTGCATGCACCCAAGATGGTACTGAACTTCCCCAGAACTCTAGTTTCTAACTTCCCACATTTATTTTGGAAACAAGCCTGGATTTTTCACCAATCAGGCCATTCTCACTGTCTTCTCATGATTTTTCCCTGAAGGCATATAAACAGGATTAGAAAATGGAGCTATGAGAACTCAAGAGCCTAGGAATTTGGCTTATGGGAATTTTATTCTCTGAATGATACCAGGCACCAAAGAGCAAAGGTGAGCATTCCCAGCCTGGTGTCTTCCAACACATCTGGATGTCAGGGCAAATCATCACTGCAATCAGTGTCACTGGGACCAGGAAGCAGAGCTGAGGCTGTAGTGTCCAATTTCATTATGCATTTCAGCGGCAATTTGGGAAAACCCTCTGATTGGGGCATGCTCTGACACACAGTGACCACTAGGGCTCACTCCATTTCTGCGCTGGAACCAGACAATTACATAGCAAGCTGTAAGATTTCAATGAGAAGCGCACATTAGCAATTATTCCCCAGTTCCCCAGCAAACATCACCCTGAATCTCCACAGTAATTTTCCTAGGCTCAAACAAAGGTACAAGTTCACCTACGAGCTTGTACCAAACATAGCTAGTACCTTCTCAGAAAAAGAAAAAATCACACTGCTCTTATTTGTATAGATCTTATGTAAGTGTTGTCTCTCCTGATAAAACATAAGCCTCGTGGGAGCAAGACCAATTCTGTTTTGTCTTTGTGTCCCCAACACCTCATACAGTGCCTGGCATATGGTCAGCATTTAATAAATGCTTATTGGTTGATAGCATTTCAACATGCAAATAAAGATCTTCCCATGGAAAGCAGGCCCTAAGTCTATATGCCTGTTGTCCTCATACCACAGAGCACCTATCTGGAAGTAGGTCTGAAAACCCCAGGTTTTCATGTTTCTACCCAAATAAAACTCTGGGGCCTAAGCCTACAGTGCCACTCCTCTCTCCCCAATCCATCTCCTCTTTCTATATAAACAGATGGAAGAAGAGAGAATTTACTGGAAAGATGAAATACCAGGACACCCCAACTAGGAGCAGAGGCATTGAAGTAAGTTGTGGGAATGAACAATTAAGCTGATAGATTTGGCTTCTCCCTGGCTTATGGGCACAACCTCTGGGCCTCTAGTGGTCAATAAGGTGTGGATGGTGGAGGGGATAAAGGAAGACAGGTAGGTCCCAGCTTAAGTCAGGAATGGGGCATAGGAAAGGTCCTGGGACCCTACAAAACTGCCCTCCCCACTGGAGTCCTCACTCTTTTCCCTTTTGTGAACTCCAAATTCAACTGCTTCACAAAAAGTAATTCATCAGAGAGAAGACTGGATGTTCTCCAAGCCCATGACAGGAAGGCTTATTAAACTTCCTTTCTGAACCTATTCCTCCCTTACCTAAGAGCTTTTCATTTTTTGCTTTATCTGAAATTGAAAAAAACCCCAACAATTAAATCTTGGTTACCGTGACAGCCCTCCTCTCTCTGCTCTGTTGCTGGGGCCCGGCCAGCTCATCCTGACTCAGAGTTTTCCTCTACACAACAACGTTCTCTCTCTCTCTCTCTCTCTCTCTCTCTCTCTCTCTCTCTCTCTCTCTCTCTCTCTTCTCTCTCTCTCACACACACACACACACACACACACACACACACACACACACACACCCCAAATTGCTAATAAGCATATGTCAAAGGCATTCCTAGCTGTTCCAGGGAACCAGTCATCAACAACTAAGATTTGGGTGTGGGATCCAGGGAGGGCTCAACTTGAGGTAAGGAATGGAATACAGCAGTTAATACAACGGTTATAACTGGAGAGCTTTGCTTCGAGGTTTCAGAGTTCATTCCGCTATTGGGAGAAGAAGCCTATATTGTCTACATCACACCATGGGACAACTGATGTAGCACTACTACCAGGAGATGGTGGTAACCCCATTTTAAAGCTGGTGCCAGAGGATAAAGGTAACCCCATTTTAAACACTAGTGTCAGGGGACAGGCATTACCCTACGATGCTGGTGTCAGGGCAGAGATAATTCTATTGTAATACTGGTATTGGAGAAAGATAACCTTGTTTTAATTCTGGTCATGGGAGACAGGCAGAGACAATCTTGTTTTAGCACTAGCATAAGGAGTCAGAGATAACCCTGTTATAATGTCTGTCTCAAGCAACATAAATAGAACCAACCTAGGCCAATTGCTACAGAGAGAGCTATATGAAACAACAGTACATTGTACCCAAGTTCAAAGCTATGATGTTGTAAGTCACATTGCTGGGGTTTTACTACATCTAGGACACTTTGCTTTATAATCATCAAGTTGCTTTTTAAGTATAATTTTTTTCCCTTAACCACTCTGTCTTGATGTATTATGGGGGTAAGATTTCACTACTTACCTCATAAGACAGTTTTGAGGAAAGCACCTTGTAAACTATAAAGTGCTACAGAAATGTGAGCTGTTATTATTAATAATGTCAATAATAATAAATATTTACTTAGAGCTCTTTTGTGCCCATTGTGAGAGACATGGGAGAAGAAACCATTAGTCAATCCACAAACACTTTTTTAGCATCTACTACTTGCCAGGTATAGTGGTAGGCATTGGAGCTACGAAGACAAGAATGAAATGTTCCCTGCCCTCAAGGAGTTTATATTCTATCAGGGAAACCACATGTTCACAAATAAGTATGTGAAAAATAACTATAACGTAATTTTTGGAAAAGAGGCACCAATGTTAGGGATATTAGGAAGAAGACAAGGTCCTTGCCCTCAGGAACCTCAGTACTTTATGAGGAAAACAAACTTTACACAAATAAAGCAATTAAAGAATTCTCTGGGGTCCCATGAATGTTTGTGATTTGGGGCTTCTGGTCTGAGGCTTTTGTACATCAATTGAGATATAAAAGAAACTGAAAGCAAACCAACCACACAATGATTCAGGTCATCCAAAATGGTGCTTCCTTGATCCTGATCGGGGGGGAACCTTGGCTTCTCACTAGAAGGGTTCTCAGCAACTTCATTTCCCCAAATCCTCACCAATAGTACACTCTGAGAGCCTTCATTTACTCTTCCTCACCCTGGCATGTCTCCAAACCTGGCCCTGTTCTCTGACCATGTACACCTGACCAAAGTTGTGACTCACCAGGATGTAGAGGGCACCTTCTGAACTCTTCTCATACTCCTTGATGGTGGAGAAGACTGACAGCACCAGGCAGGAGAAAACCAGCAAGAATCTGAGGGAAAAGAGAAATGCCACTCAGTCTGCGGCATGACCTGCAAATGCCACTGCACAATTTTGATTTCCTTGGCTGAAAGAATTGTCTCTCCAGCTAAAACTGTTAGCTCCTTGAGGGCAGGAGCTGCACTTGACTTGGAGTCAATAGACCTGCGTTTGATTTCTGGACTAGCTAATCACTACCTGGGTGACCTTAGGCAAGTTAGCTGCCCTGTCAGGACTCCAGTTTTCTCTTCGGTAGATTGAGAGCATTGGACAAAATTCTCTCTAAAGCTGTGGCATTATGGAAAGAGCCTGAAATATTTAGAGAACCAGAGTTCAAATCCCTGTTCTGTGCCCTACTGCCTGTGTAACTGAACAAATACTTTAATTTCCCTGAGTCTCAGTTTCCCTTTCTTTAAAATGAAAGGGTAAGACGACAAGACCTCACAGGGCCCTTTTTAGCTCTAAATCCCATACCCATATGGTCCCTTTTGGCTCAGACTCTATGAATCTGTACTGAACAGAGGTCTTGGCACTACAAATAGTTGTTGATTTGGGTTTGCTTAAAGTGAGGCATACCAGTAAACAGTCTACACCTAGGTCTGCACAGAGCAAAAGAAAACAGGTTTCTGTGAGGGGGCAGGAAGGATGCCTATGAACAGACTTTTTGGCTTACAGAAGCGACCCTGAACCAGACAGGAATCTTTGCTATCTAGTCCCTTCCCTGGCAGACAAACACAAGCATTTTTCAGTTTGTTAAAGGGAGAGATCATTATGATGGAAAGATAATATCACTCCAGCCCTCTCCACCCAAGAATAACAACAGTCCTGAATGTGTTCAGCTCTTTTGGAAGAGAAGACTCTATGAATTCTATAATCACACTGTGCTTGTTATCACACAGTGTGTGTGTGTGTGTGTGTGTGTTGTGTGTGTGTGTGTGTGTGTGTGTGTAAGATACTACTGGACTTTCAGGTCCTTGAGGACCTGGCTTTAACTCCTGACTCTTCTACTTCCCACCTCCATGACCACTTCATTTCCAAAATGAAAGGTTTGGACCTTTCAGATGACCTCTGAGGTCCCTTCTACCTCTAAAGCTGCAGTCCTATGACTGATCAGTCCCCTTACAGCAGAGGTTCTTAACTGGAGTTCATAAACTTGCTTTTTAAAAAATCACTAATTGAATTTCAATATAATTGGTATCTTTTGTAATTCTACATGTTTTATTTTATGCATAATAATAAGAATAGCTAACAGTTGCATAGCATTTAAGATTTACAGTTATCTTGTTTTATCCTCACAACAACCAGGGGGAGTAGGTGCTATTATTATTCCCATTTTACAGATGAGAAAATAGAAGCAAATAAAAGTTAAGACTTGCCCAGAGTCACAGTGTCTGAGGCTGGTTTTGAACTCAGATCTTCCTGACTTGAGACCTAACACTCTATCCACTATGCCACCAGATGCCTACTTCTTCATACCTCACCCAATCTCTCCTGCTGCAGCTGTAATCTATTTTCACTTCTCCTGAACTCCGGATATACAGGAGTCTTAGAGATCATTTTATCCAACCCTTTTATTTTACAGATGGGGAAACTGAGGCCAATAGAGCAGAAATGCCCAAAACCACAAAGCTGGTTAGTTACAGAGCAGGGACTAGAACCCAGACCTTCTGCCCCCAATTATTTCTCAGTCCTCTTCTTCTCTTATATTGCTCTACTTAACTTTGCCTCGCAGATTACACTCCAGAAGAAAGGAAAAGGTCTGAGTTTGCTTGTGAGAAAGATTCTCCAGTGAGACTCAATTGGCTTCACTCACGCTCCACCCCTTCCCAGGCTAATGATTTACAGAGGGTAGATGTTGAATTAATTAGTTCAGTTTGGAAAAGCATCCAGTTCCGAGACAGTGTGACCGCTGTTTAAGGTCCTGCAACAGAGTGCCACAGTGACTGGGAGAGGAAAGAGCCTATGGGAAGAAACAGCATATATAGCCTACTGCAATTTCCCTAATTCCTCCTTCCCCCTCTCCATTCCCTCCTCTGTCCCTGAACCAAAGACTCCTTTGCATTCAAGAAGAAAATTCTCAGCACCTGATGTTCACGCTATAAAAACCTCTATTTGGTTTTTATAGCTCTTCATAACTCAGGCTGCTTCTTACCTTTCTAGTCTTTACAACCCTAAGCATGGACACTGGTCTTCTTACCCTTCCTCCCATACAACATTCCATCACCCAAAACCATGCATTTCTATTTGTTTAGATCTGACTTTATTTTTAATAACATTTTGGTTTTTTCCAATTACATGTATAAACAAATTCTAACAAACATTTTTTTATTTTGAGTTTCAAATTTTCTCCCTCCCTCACCTCCCCTTTCCCCAAGACAGTGAGCAATTTAATATAGGTTATATGTGTGCAACCATGTAAAACATATTTCCATATTAGAGTCACGTTGTGAAAGAAGAAACAGACCAAAAGGGAAAAAAAGCATGAAAAAAATAAGGTGAAAATAGTATGCTTCATTCTGCATCCAGACTCCATCAGTTCTTTCTCTGGATGTGAATAGCATTTAGAACTGTCTCAGATCATTGTATTGCTGGGAATAGTTAAGTCATTCATAGTTGCACATTGAACAATGTTTCTTATACTATGTACAATGTTCTCCTGGTTCTGCTCATTTCACTTTGCATCAGTTCATATAAGTCATTTAGCCATTCCCCAATTGATGGGCACCCCTCAGTTTCCAATTCTTTGCCACTACAAAAAGAGCTGCTACAAATATTTTTGCGTAAGTAGGTCCTTTTCACTTTTTTAAAAAATTTCTTTGGGATACAGACTTATTAATGAAAACCATGCATTTATACTGGCTGTCTTTCATGCCTAGAAACTTCTCCCTCCTCATCTAGGCCACCTAACTTCCTTCAAGACAGCCCAAATCTCACCTTTTGTTAAGAGGCTTTTTGTGCATACCCTACCCCAATATACACACACTGCTTAGTGCCTTCCCTCTGAGGTTATGTAGTATTTACACTGTATGTATTTTATTGTGCACAGTTGTTTTCATGTTTAGAATGTGAGCTCTTTGAGGGCAGGGGCCATATTTTTGTTTTTCTTTGAATCCTCAGCACTTGGCAAAGTGCCCAGAACATGGTAAGCACTTAAATTCTTGTGGCTCAACACTATTAGATTAATTGTCCTGTGAAGAGTCTACAAATAGCAGCTTATCTAAAAGGCATTGCAAATTGCCATTCAGATATATCCTTCTACAGGAGTTACCTGTGTGGGTCTACCTTATCTAGGCCAACAGTGAAGTGATTCAGACTCAGACTTCCCTGAGCTTTCTCCCATGGCAGCAAAGGATCTTCCAGCCTAGACTGGATGATCCAAAGAGAAGATAACTGAGAATTCACCACATTGGCCCAGATACCAAACCGGCTCTTCCCCAGAAGTGCCAAAGGACTGAATGTTCTTCTGATTCATCTACGGAAGTCCCAAGTTGTCTCAATCTTTCTTTATGGTTCCTGTCTTCTTTATGATTCAGTCTTACCCTATGGGAATTTTATTGAAATCAAAACTCAAACATTCAATGAGTGCACCAAGCCCTGTACTAGGTGTTTGGAAGGGAGACAAGAGAAGACACTCTTCCTTAAGGAACTCGGAGCCAAGACACCCACACATAGAACTATTGAGGGAGCCATTGGAGACAAGGTAGGAGCAGGTACAAGACTGTCTCTGAGGCAGCCCCACTCTAATTGTTATGAAGTTTTTCCTTGTATCCAGCCAAAATCTTCCTCTCTGCAATATCTGCCCGTTCTTCCTGGTTCTGTCCTCTGGAGCCAAGCAGAACAAGTCTAATACCCTTTCCATAGAAGAGCCCCAAATACTTGAAGTCAGCTAGCACGTAACCCTAAGTGTTCCCTCCTCCAAACCAAACATCTCCAGTTCCTTCAATCAAAGTGCAGCAGGGTCTGGTTTTTGGTTATTGAGTCATTTTTCAGTTGTGTTCAACTCTTCATAACCCCATTTGGAGTTTTCTTGGCAAAGGTACTGAAGTGGTTTGCCATTTTCTTCTCCAGCTCATTTTACAGATAAGAAACTGAGGCAAACAGGGTTAAGTGACTTGCCCAGGGTCACACTGAAAATAAGTGTCTGAGGTGGGATTTGAACTCACAAAGATGTCTTCCAAATTCTAAGCCCAGTGCTCTATTCACTGTGCTTGGTAGAATAATGAATAAACTTCTGGACTAATCAGGGAGACCTGGGTTCAAATTCCATTTGACATTTTCTAGCTGTGTGACTGTAAGTCATTCAATCTCTCTGAGCCTCAATTTCCTCATCTGTGAAATGAGAAGAATAATTCCCATTATATTCATATCTCATAAGGTTGTCATAAGGTTCAACAGAGGTACACAAGCTTTCAAGTGCTTTATAAATGTCAGTTATTATTTAGTGGATCAATTTTAAGACCTGTCATCTTCCTATGAAAAAGCTTCAGTCTGTCACTGTATTTCCTAAAATGTGGTGTCCCAAACTTTCAAACTGGAAGCAATCTTTAAAAATATCCAGTGACAGGATCAATAGAGCTAGAGGTGGGAAGGATATCAGCGATCATCTAGTTCAACCCCTTTATTTTACATTAAGAATCCAAGGCTAGGAAGGCAAGTGACTTGCGCAAGGTACCATGGTAAGTTGGTGGAGACACCAGGACTAGAAGCTATGTCTCCTGACTTCCTGTTCCTTTCTACCACTCTATGCTAGAGCAGACTTTTCTACCAGAGCTGTTTTAATACAACTTGCACATACTGTATTCTGAGGATCTTTGGAGTAACTCCACCAACAGAAATGCCTAGTGAATGTTGTTATCTCATAGGAATCATGGAGTGTCAGAATGAAAGGCACTTCAGAAAGGAGCAGGAGCAGCTAGGTGGTGCAGTGGATAGAACGCCAGACCTGGAGTCGGGAGGACCTGAGTTCAGATCTAGCCTCTGACACTTACCAGCTGTGTGACCCTGGGCAAGACA